CATACATCATGGCTAGTTCAATGAAATCGCCATAGCCGCGTCCACTGAAATGCGTCCGGTTTTCACTTTTCATTAAAAAAAAAATGAAATTTTAGTTGCCCTCAATGAGCAGCTTTTTACAGATCTGATTCGCGCATGTAAGCTTAGTGGGGATACCGCTGGATGGCGTTGGAGGGAATGACAACCCACAACGCTTCACAATGGCCCCCGTTGCCGGCCCCATGACCGTGCGAATCCCTTCGCCACCTCAAAGACAGCAAACAGTTTTTATTATTTTTTTTTAACTCCGTCCTCGTTTACTTGCCCCGGCATTGTTTTAAAAATCTATTCAGTGAGTGTCCTGGGTGCACAATGTGAGAACATGAGGGGAGAACATGCCGAGCAGGGTTTCCATGGACCCCTTTTTTAAATGGATTTGGAGCGCTTTGCAAGTAGTATGAAGACCGCGGACACCTTCTTATAATAAAGTATTTAAATACATATCATGGAAAAAAACAAAAAAAAAACAACAAAAAAACAATTGAATTGCAGCTCACTGTCACTTTTTTTTCTACTTATCCCAAAGACAATAGGTTAAGAGTCCCTGGGTTAAAGGGTACATTAAAAAGTCTCCCATAACAGCCGGTGTTAAAGAAAAATACGCAGCAAGTTTAGTCAAGTTTTTAAACTTACTTTTCACAATGACGTCCATATGAAACTTTCTGCTTTAACTGATCCACATTTTTTTATTTAAATTTTTTAAAATTATATTTATTTCTTACTCTTAAAATAAAGCAGGGTATGTGTTTTAAATAATATTCTAAAAGATAGAAATAACATTACACAAGATACCATTAAATAGAGGGAATGAGTTGGTTAAACAATCGTCTGTATTCGACCCTTGTATCAAAAGCATGGTATGGTAATTTTCTAGCTCCGCCCACAATGCCCCGATGATACATCATTGACAATGAATTAAAGAATAGGCTCAGCATGAGCACACAAAAAAAAGTATGGGAAAAATATGGGGAAAAGAAAGTCGAAATAAAACAACGAACGTGTCGGCGAAAAGTCTTCTTCAGTGAATTAAGAAAATTAAAAACAATATAAAATAATAAAAAAATACTTGGCTGTAATGTAGTATAAGAGAGGACAGCAAGAGGGAAGTGACAAAACATAAGTAGGTGAGACAATAAAGATAGGCAAAAATGGACAGACGAGAGGAGAATGAGAAGTCAGTCTATGCGATTGGCCGTAACGAGGAGGGTGGGGGCGGAGAAAAGGTTTAACATGTGAATGAGAGCATGGCAGCTAATGTTGTACCACTTGCAAGAGAAAATTAATCATACATCTTTCTCACTACGTACGGTGTCACTTGCAAGAGAAAATTAATCATACATCTTTCTCACTACGTACGGTGTCACTTGCAAGAGAAAATTAATCATACATCTTTCTCACTACGTACGGTGTCACTTGCAAGAGAAAATTAATCATACATCTTTCTCACTACGTACGGTGTCACTTGCAAGAGAAAATTAATCATACATCTTTCTCACTACGTACGGTGTCACTTACAAGTATGCATTCGTTGCTTTATTCTTATTGGATAGCCGACTCACGGTATATTTCTTTCTTCCACACGTGCCCCCCTCCCCCTAATCCCCCACCCTTCCCTAGAGACCGACCGAATTTCGGCTTCGGCTTCGGTTTCGACGCCGAAAGTGGCCATTTTATCACTTTCGGCCAAGTTTCGGTTTCGGCCGAAACTGAAAAGTTAACTTTCGGCTTAATTTCGGTTTCGGCCGAAACTGAAAATTTAACTTTCGGTTTTTCTTCGGTTTCGGCCGAAATTGACTTAGACTTTCGGCCATCCGGCCGAAAGTGACTCAGGTTTTCGGTCAATTGAAACTCAGCAAAAGCTATATTTAACTACAAACTAAGCGACATTTAAGAACAAATTAAGCGATCTTTGTGAACAAACTAAACGATATTTAACAACAAACTAAATGACATCTATGAACAAA